GGAAATGGGACCTCAGCCAATTGCCTGCTCTTACAAACGGCGCAAAAAGTGAAATTTGGGCAGTCAAAACGAGCGCTTCGGTGGAACGTCCTCGGTACGTTATTGTGTGCTTCCAGAAATCTAAACGTGACAATGCAGAAGCTGATGCTACCCACTTTGATAACACGAGCATAGTTAGTATCAGATTAGCCCTTAATGGTGAATATTGGCCTAATGAGAGAATGCAGCTGGATTTCGCTAAACAAGACTACACCCTTGCTTACTACAACTATACCAGGTTCTATTCGAGCTATTCACATTCGACGGGGGTTCACCCAATCTTGGATTATGGGGAATTCAAACAGCATGCATTATTTGTGATTGATTGCTCGAGGCAGGAAGAGACCATGAAATCATCGACAGTTGATATAAAGCTTGAAATCGAAGCCGATAAAGGATTCCCTGCTGACACCAAAGCCTATTGCATCATCGTACATGACTGTCTGCTAGAGTACTTCCCTCTAACGGAAGTCGTCAGAACCTTGATTTGAGTATAATTACCAACTGCAAACTGCTCGAGCTCGCATTCGATCGTCAGCCGTCATGAGGATCGCACTTGTCGACATTCAAGGCTTCACTCTTGACAGTGTTTTTCACCCGAAAGAGCTGACCATTCAAATTGGCCGCCAGAGATCCAACTTCCTATTCAAACCGCCTACACCGTTTGCTACCATTAGTGGACGTGACAAGAAAACTACATGTTATGTGGAGAAATTCGTCCATGGAATACCATATGATGCTGGTGATGTTGAATATACGGAACTGAACAACATTTTGGAAAAATATCTCTTGCATTCGGTTGAATGTATGTACGTGAGGGGCAATCAGAAAGCTGACTTTTTTAAGACGAAATGTGAAGAACTTGAAGTATTCCCAACTGTATACGATGTTGCTTTGTATGATGGAACACCCTGTTCCAGTAAAACCTACCAGCAAACTATATCGTACTGCCCCAACCACGCCAATGGAAAATATATGTGTGCCCAGCGGAACGTTGATCAACTTTACCAGTGGTTTATAAATGTAATATTACCTAAATGAAGATGTACTGTGTTTGGCTCAATAAACATTATGATAAAGATGGGAGTTTTATTGAAACACCTTGTATAAGTTCCATCATTTTATTCACGATATATGTACCCAGCTTTCATTAGGCCTTTCACAATCAAAACGAACGTAGCTGCTAATGTCAAACCTAGTAATATGAACATTTTATTAAATTCATTCTGTATTCCTGTTGTGGGGGCTCCTATAGTTTGCCAGTCGGTATCCTCTTCAGATCCACCGGAAAACATCAACTTGAGTTTGAAGAAGGAATTATTCGTCTCTGGTATCTCTTTGTAGAATACTGGTAGACATCCATTGTTCACCAACTTATTTCGCATCGCTGTCCACGATGATCGATTGCAATCTTCTTTCGAGTCATTGAAACATATCGTCATGTTCTTGACATCGTTGGGAACATTTGTATACAATACGTTATTCAAAATTGCTGTCAGAACTATGAATACCACCCGTGACATTTTGAGGCTGGATGTGTCGTCTCTGCTCAACAGGCACCTCTACTGCTGGTACTCTTCCACAGCTGCTGAAAACTTTATCCCACAAACTCAGATTCTCCAATTGATTCAATACTCTGGTTTTATCTTCGTACAATGTTATGTCTTTGTTCAGCTGTCGAACCCGCTCCCCAAATTCCTCCAACTTGCTTCTGTACTCGTCCAAGGACATTGTAACACTGATTCAAAGGTCAAGTCTGAATAGTGGTAGTGGTAGCTACGCATGCGCACAGCTGATATAAGCTTTGAGACACATCCAGTATCCATGATTGAATGGCTCGTGACAACAACAAGTTTGAACATGTCTGTTGGATGACTCATCGGCCACCTGCGTCAGGACAATAGACCCATTGTTCTCACACAGATAAGGATGATGCAATCGGATGAGGTTGTTACGTAATCGGACACCTGCAAACAAAGGCGGCATTGTTCTCGTATAATATTGCGTCGCAATTTCCCAATAGCCGGAATTCCAAGAAACGCTGTGGCGTAGAAAGAACAAAGGCGGCATTGTTCTAGAGGAAGGCTAGATAACATATGGCAAACAAAGGAGGCATTGTTCTATGAAGTCGAGATAAGGATGACTCATCGACCATACCTGCAACATGCATATCGGGTGACCTTGAAACAAAGTGCTACCAATTGTAGTAATACCAACCTAAATCTGGTGGGCAAAGTCACTGGATTGTGACGTCATCCACCATCTTTCAAAAAGAAGAAGAAGAATGTCCACGCCCATAAGCACTAGAGTCCAGAGTCTAGGGGGCTAAGTTCAGAGTACTTGCACGTGTCATTCCTTGTGTTCCATGTCATCTGTCACTTGTCTGTCATCTGTCACTCGTCGTCTGTCACCTGTCACTCTTTGTGTTCTATGCCATCTGTCACTCTTTTTGTTCTATGCCATCTGTCACTTGTTATATGTCACTTGTCTGTCATCTGTCACTTGTCATCTGTCACTTGTCATCTGTCACTTGTCATCTGTCATTTGTCACGTGTCACTTGTCATCTGTCACTTGTCATCTGTCACTTGTCATCTGTCACTTCCGGCGGCCATCTTGTGACCCGTGCAGCCAACACCTTCTACCACAGGAACGGTTGTGACGTCACTTCCGGCGGCGGCCATCTTGGCCTGGTACGAAGGTAGGTACACTACTTGCATATACGAAACCAATTCGATGGTGGTGTGGCCTGGACAATTTTATTTACGGAAAAACGTCCATATCTAGAAGCAAGAGAGCTAGTATTATAGTTCTTCAAATCCCGTGTTGTCTGGACGATAAACACGAATTTGTCCGTCATCATAAGCCGACTGGAAAGCTTTTTAGTCCGTATAAATTTCTCTTTTCCAATATTGTGGGTTGCGGTATACTGCTGAGTGTCCCAGATCTTTTCATAAAGCCAATAATATCTCAGTTATGCTGATTAAAAAAAACATTGAAATTACACTTTTGTTGAACCCAAATGACTTTGTGCCGGATATATACTTTTCATGAGTATAGGCCACTTCATTCGTGCCGCCTCTTCATCTTTCCTAGAAGTTTCAGTGTGAATACTCGATGGTATCACTCATTTATAGGGCGTTATTAGATCAGACAAACACTTATCGAAGACAGCTAAAGGTGAAATATATAGGATCCTTACTTTTTGAGCTGTAGTTTGTCTTGTATTTTCTATGCCAAAAAGTTTTAGTTTTTTAATCGAAACTGAAATGCTTCTCAAAGTAATCTAAGATATAAGAAAATCAAGAAAATTGTTGAATATTTCTAGTCCTGCAGACTAGAAGCATGAAGTATACTAATTTGTCGAGTAATTTGTACAAATTCACAAACCTCAACAAGTGATTGATCAAGAAAAGAGAAGTATCTTCAACAAGTTCAAGTGAAAAAGATGAATTTTCCCACAAAGTTAACCTTTTTTGATTTTTATTGTTCTCAATATTGTGTTGAAAAGAATTTTCAGCATTGAAGTCCATAATGAAGACATTCGGTAATACCCTTTAATACTTCAATGAACATGAACATGAAAACCTCCAGAACAATTTGTGGCCGGAGTGCAAAGCGCTATGCAGATGTCCAATTTCGGGTAAACGCATAGAGATTGGTTCTTCGAAAACGTGAAAAGATCCAATAATGATGTAGTTTCAGGTTTTTTTATTGTCTTATTAGAGTAAATGTTACTGTGAAAGTGGACACATTCCTGAACCAAATGTCCTCTAAATCAATGCTATGAAATTACACGAAAGACTCAGCTTTTTTGTGATTTTTTTTTGGGTTGCTTGTACGAGAGTAAGGACGATCGTCAAGCGGGAGGGGGGACGTTGTGATATAGCGATTTGCTGCTAGATTTTGAGAAAGAAAGATTTTGGCAACAACAAGTTCATTGTATCCACGATTACCAATAAAGGGTGAGATCCAGGGTTTCGATTGCTATCACAATAGTAATAGATCTACTACGTTTTAGCACTCTTCATTACGTTACTACTATTTGAAATTCATAGCGAATCTGTTACCATTCGATTACAACTCGCTAAAAAGAAGAAAATATTGAATTAACGTTCGAGATAAAGTCCGACGGAGCGGATAAGAGGTTCGTTCATGACATATCGAGTCATGTCTCTTGGTTTTCGATATAGTATTCGCAAACATGAGTAAGAGTGAGTAAGATATATAACAGGTCCTTAATGCGCATGCTCCATTGATGAAATCAAGTTCGATCTCGTAAATGAATAAGCTTTGATCTTATGACATTACGCATAATGAATCCGTACTGATTTGAGGAACGTTGAAAAATAGGTGTGTTTCCATGAAGAATTAATGTTTGTATAATTAGCGTAAATTGAAAAAAGATTCATTATTTGTAAGAACGTATTTGGCGATACTTTGAACTAGGGAGATTTTGAAGTTGGATGTTTGATGTTTAAGAAGGGATATCCAAAATAAATGTAGTGAGAATATTCGAAAATGAATATATACAAACTGAATGATCGAAAGTAATCCAACATGAGAATGGAGTTTTATCCTTGCAAAATATTCGATTTAATGGAGTTGTATCTGAAGTGAAACATGCAAAACACATCCAACATCTAAAAGACAAAACAACAAAAAGTTTTTCTTTGGAGAATAATTATGGAAAATGGCCTACTCCGACGGGGACACCTGACTTTTACTACATGACAAAATATAAATTTCCTCAAAAGAATCGCTTGAAATAGGCTGAAAGTTTGTTTGAATTTAAGTAAAATATTCAATGCAAACTTTTGCCATAAAAAGCTTCAGCAAAATAAAATCGTGATCAGATCACTTAACTTTCAGTAAGGATCATTTCTAGAAGGTAGATATCGATTCGCTTGTAATTGGAACAATTACTGGTTTATCAAATGTGATTCTAACAAATGGTCTTTGGTTATTCTCTCCAATCACACTTACCTCGTGAATTTTTTGTGTCTTGATTCGAAAGAAGAGTGTTTTTTCCCTCAACTTCTCCATTGAATTGGCTTCTTTTCAAGGTGAAAAAATTGAAATTGCCGTACGTAGACTTCTCCGACTCTGATAACGAGCTTAGATCTGTTAAATCGCTAGTAGTTGAGATAAACGAATCGTAAGTGTTGACATCATAAATTTCCGGACTCTTCATCTCTTTATCTTCTTTCGTAACGAAGGTCGCTGTCTTGTAGGGGGCGAATTGTGGAAAGAATGCTGCCTCAAAGTCTCTCGAAGGGATAGAAAATTGATGGTTGTCGGCCAGAGAGGGCTGGTAATGGTTGTAGTAAGATTTCATGATGTCCATAATTTGAGAGTTGTAAATAGGTGTAGAAACTGGTGCCACGAATAGTTACGTTAGTCTGAAATGAAAAGAGAATATTATTAATTGCTAAAATTACAAACCAAATGAATGCAACATGCAGAGTACGCACATAATCGAAAATTTCATAGTGCATTTCACATTCCAGAAATACAAAATTTAGATTTCAACTGATAATTATCCCCCCAAATATGAGGGGGTCAATAAACATAGACAGGGTGGAATTTTTTCAAACAAAACAATTTATTAGATTATCAAGAAATATCAAGGAAACAGGTACTATAGTGATGGAGAGATCTTCGTAGCGAACGCTACTTTAGATTTCCAAGAAAAAGTGCCGCTAGCTATTACACTCGTTAAAAGTCGAATGCCCGAAATCGTCTTTCGTCAACGCACTATCATCATACGAATTTGGCTTGGCCTTAAAACGAAACAAGCTAACGATCATGATGGAATTCAATCCCATAATCTTCAAAAAATGTGCACCATGAATGACACCGATTCTCTGCAAGTTATTTACCATCTCGTACAAGCCGGGTATTTTTTCATCGTGTTGAAAGATTGCTAGAGTGCAATCAATCCCCGGAAAAAGGAACAAAAACCTGCCCAACAATTACAGGCCTATTGCCCTGTTATGCGTAAGTGATGGAGAAAGCCAGCTTGTCAAATATCTGGAAAGCTCAGGAATGATCAATGAAAGACAATATGGCGTTCGCCACAGAAGATCAACTGGAGATCAACTTGCCTACATCTCCCATATATGGCAAGCTTTATTAGAATAACATGGGGAATCGCTAGCTGTAGCTTTAGACATAGGTACCTATCGAAAACATTCGACCGTGTTTGGCACCAAATCGAATCCTTCACAAACTATCACCTCAGCTATGCCATATTTTATCGAGTTTTCTTTCAGGCACAGCGCTCCATGTTTTGGTGGACGGATTATGGTCGGATAACACCATCAATCCCGGCGTTCCACAATGATCGATGTTGGTACTAACATTGTTCCTACTTCATATCAGTGATCTGTTGGGAGTAAAAACTCGCCCTATCCACAGCTCTGCAGATGATAGTACTCTCCATACTGCGTTCTCTTCCAGAATTCCCATTTCTTCCCAGGTAACTGAGAACTCATGGCGAAGGCAGGCCAATGCCGTCAATGAAGATCTTGCTAAAATCACAGCCTGAGGAACCAACAATAACCTAGTCGAATTCAACGTCACCAAAACTCATGCTTGTATTTCCACCAAGTCCACAATATCTATGCTCGGTATTTCCATCAGCAATACACTCTATCATCTGGTAATCATGTCAAATCCACTGCGGAAGCTGGTTCACAAAAACTCGGATCTTTGTTCCGTGCGAACAGCTAGGTACCTATTTTACACCTCAATAGCTTTCCATGATCTAAAAAGCACAGAAACTGCCTGTTCTGGAATACTGTTTCCACAAATGGGGTTGGTTCAGAATCCAAACATACGCTGTTGCTCGTAGATTCCATCCACAGTGAAAAGCCATTCACCCACCAGGGTGATGCCACACTCACTAACGAACTGACATCTATGGATGTTTCTATAGATACTTCCACGGGAAATGATCATCAGAAATCTCTATCATTCCATCACTAGCAATACCAGTCAGACGAACTCGACAAGCCCAGTCTGCACATTATTTCGCCGTGAGCCTAGAAACATGTCGAACAGCACTTTATCAAAACACGTTCGTATATAAAACGGAAAACTTGGAAATTCATTGCTTGATCAAGTATTTCCAAGCACTTATTATATCTCCAAAAGTTAAAAAAATACAATACCTGCCTCATCTCCATATCCTCCCTAGGTACACACGATATGGTCTTCGGACATTATAGGGATAAAAAAGGAGATGAGTATATGTCATAAATTCATCTTATTTTGTCAGCCTACCTTTGACTAGGAATTATTATACTACATAATTCCTAAAATGGACACATTGGCATCGTAAAATAAGGGATCGCATAAGGAATTTCAAACTGCATCTCTGTAAAGAAATATATCTTGAAAAAAATATATCGCCCTGATTCAACACCCCGTAGCTCTCCATTTCTTCAAAAAACATGTAATCGTCCTGTATAAATAAAGAACATGTGAGGGGTATCAAGATTCAGTTCGATAAATCTAACCAAACGAAAAAATCAAAAAAATCGAAAGAAATTGATATTATATTAATCACCACTTTCTTGACTATTTCTTCTCATTAATATAAATTGAAAATCATGATTTATTCGATTAATTAAGTATAAAAATAATGATTTTTGATTGAATTCAAATCAGGATTTTCTTATTGATTATATATTAATACTTTCAAATATTTTGCATCTGAGAATCATATTATGTGATAGATGATTATATTTTTTCAATATCGCACACATTCACCCATTCACACACATGTATAGATATAGTAGGTCTCATATATTTTAGTACTGATGTCCTACAAAAGAAGAAGGTATTACGATGAGTTGATATTAAACGTGGTGAATAATCATTAAAAACATAACGAATTGATACACGAACGCCAGTCTCATTCGTGGCATGAAACTATAAAAGTTAATAACTCATGAAGGACAGGTGACTATATAGGGTGATTCATCTAAGTTAGCAAAGAATAAGTGAGTGAAACAAATCACTAAAATAAGTTGAAATAATACGAATTTTTAGACAAATGATTATAAGTAGATAATAAAATAGCCTATTGTTTGACGGGCATGGAACGATATAGTCCCCACGAGAATGAAGTTTGCAAATCATACGAGTATGGAAAATTAGCATTCCGTGGAAATGCTCTATTGGACGTAGCTGTAATTTCTTGAAATTTGCGACATTTCATGGGAGATCACATTTATTGTGATTAACACGATGATTTTTCGAGAACAGTAAAACAAAAGCAATTTTGTGTTATACTCGTAAAAATTATCCTAAGTTTCATGCACTGTTACAAAATAGAGTCTATCCGCTACTACAATAATTGTATAGACAGAGAAGGAGACAACATCTTTGAGAAGTGCAAAATTTTATCATTCATGTAACGATAGCACTTCAAGACACGAATATATCCGATTAAAGCGCGCCAGAGACGTATCCTGAATATCGATGGTTAGGTGATGATGATAAGTGTAGATGAATTTAATCAGATTTTCATCTTGTTACGCAGGTATATCAGGTAGAATAAATATGTCATATTTGCTACATTCAAAAGAACAACTATGAGTTAATTTTTTTTGCCATTTTGAAATATTTTGGTCGGTGGAGTATTTTCAATATTTAAAAATATGAGTAAAAGTTATTAAAACTCAATGAAGATGAACAAATTTAAATATGGAATGAAATAGGTAAAGCTGCCCCGTCCTCATATGGTAGATATCTTATATGCCGTCTTATACCTCTCAATCACAGGGACACGGCATCCACCCTATTGTTTGAGAAAACGGCTTCTTCCATTCTCGTGATAATGTATCTGCCAAACGTTTCTGAAAAACGGCATATTCCTGATGGTGTAATACACCTTCAGCATCAGAACAAATCAATGGAGTGAAACTATAGCTCTGATGTCTTCTGCTGCACTGTCATATTTTCTATGCTTTTGCTTTGCATGATTATGGGCGATGGTATGCCAGCTTTGGGAAGTATATAAGAGGGTGCGTCGGCATTGATAATGAAATATTTTGGTAGTTATGGAAACAACTATGTGAATTTGGAAGGAGAGCGGAATTTGTACCATCTAAGTAGCGACTGGACTATACCAGTTGCCATATAATATCGCAATGTTTTTGAGCAATCTGTCAAAAAAAGATCAAAGCGATCTGAGTACGTAGTATTCATTTTCACTAGGGTCTCTCTGGAGATTTCAATACAAATAGTTTTTTCAATCACAATGTTAGGTGAATCAGTCTGTATAGGTAGTAATAGCTATATTTGCTAAGAATTCCATAGGAACTTCAGTAATATATTTCAGCTCCTATTGTCTTATGTTCTTTGGGCTAGTAATTTGGATGACGAAATTATTCAATCAAAAAAAATCTTCTCAACCCTTGAAGGGTAGTGAAATTAGCTATGACGTTGAAAAAACGATGATGCCTTCCACTAGGATAAGTATCATTTATAAAACGAGCCAAATCAGGAAATTTATGAATTAGGCTAATGTGTTCCTATGGTTTTGATTTAGGGTCTACTTCCCTCTTGCCTGGCTTTTGAATTTCTACCCTCAGGTAGGGATCTCAAGAGGTTAATTTCAAATTAGCTCGTATTAATAGACCGTTTATCAAATGGCTCTGTTTAATAGATACATTCTGTATTAAGCTTTGAAACATTAACTCATTAGTCGACTCTTTTCTCGTATTTATATTCTGGGCGATATTCTTGCTTTGTGTGAGGCATATAATTTTTTTAAATGACTAGTAATCTTGGAGTACATAATCGTTTAATTTTGTAGGTTTTTGTGAAAATAATGTTGTCTCGATCGCATGCAGTCTGTTACTTTCAAAACAATGGGTTATAAAATGTTAACGGTCCTATTAGGTGCTAAATAATTTATTTCGCAGTCATTATTCATTATATTCGAAAATGTATTTGCTCTTCCAGGAAGTGATGAACATTACGTAGATTATTTTTCTCACACGTCAAGATGTGACGTTTTCGTTGTTTCAACCAATAGCATTCAGTTATTCCAGCCAATTATTCGGTATTATACTGATAACACTGCATGGTCCTGGATAATTTACATCGAACTGTCAAAACTATAAATGAAGAGAGGTATGTGTGATGATTGAATCAATAATGATTATCACTGGACTGAATAGAACCTATCCCTTTCATAAACATTTGGTGAAAAAAATACTCTTTCCAAACACAACTCGCCTCTCAAATTTGATCCGATAATTTTGCATTTTCATCCCTCAAACTTTTTTATTTCAGACAAAATCATTCAAACAAACCAAATTAGATGAAATCACGAGTCCGTAAGACGATCGGTTTGTATT